GAATGTCGCCAAGTATGGTCACAAATTTGTTGCCATAGAGTTTACAGTGAGGTAGCGGGGTCCAAGGTAAGGGGTGCGGAGTGTGGGGTGTGGGGCCGTCCTCTACGCAGCAATACATGTATTGCTGCATGTATTGGTGCACCATCATTTGACCTGAGCTCGGATAGGTATGGAGGGGGGCATATTTCTTGACTACTTTCAGGTGGGTTGCATATGGCATACACAACCCCCAAGGCGGTTGGGGCCCCACCCGCTCGGCCATCACCCTCGTCCTCGCCTTGCATCCTCCGCCCGGCCGCGGGTCCCGCCCCGCCCCGCCCGGCCCGGCCCGCTGCACCGTATCGACTGTATCAATGGCCCTGCCCCCGGCCCGGCCCGGCCCGGCCCCTCCGCCCACCTCACGTGACTCGCCGCCGCCAGGGAGCGCCACCGCCGCGGCGGGCACACCTTCGTGGCCACGTTGGAACTTCCCTCCGCGGCGGTCGCGACACCACACGCCACACCGCGCGGCCCGGCCCCCCGGGCCCCGCCCCGCCGGGCACGGCTCGTGGCAGACAGCGTCGGCGAGGTGCTAGAGGCTTCGACGGCGGCGCGGTGCGAGACGGCGTGTAGAGACAGGATCCGGAGCAACAACGCACAGGAGCTCCATGGGTCTTTTCGAACATCTAAATAAATCCTGTTGTAACACCCGCATGGAAATAAGTATATCGAAATGACACTTTTATTGGACTTTTGTAAAAGGTATACATAAAGTATACTTTAAAGCATGGCAGATTGGGACTGCCGCCCTTTGATGGCACTTATTGCATACTTTAAGTATACTTTTTGAGCACTTTGGCCAGTCACATATTTGGGCAATAGTTTCCGTGCGGGGAGAAATTATATTTTTAAAGGAGTGGGAATGACCCGTATAAACGCTCCTCGAGACGCTCGAACGCAGGCGTTGAGGGACGCGGACCTGGCACTTCGCGGCACGGTAAAAAGAATGTCTTGAAATCCCAGGAAATTTCTGGGATTTCAAGGTTAGGTGGATAATTTCAAGATTGGCCCTTGAAATCCCAGACTCCGTCTTGAAACCCGTAGTCTCCAAGGGAAATCCTTGAAATTTTCGTCTGGGATTCAAGGATTTTCCTTGAAGTACCCAGATCGTGCCTCAAGGAAATCCCTTGAATACCAGCCAAAACTTCCAAGGATTTCCCTTGGAAGCTACGGGTTTCAAGACAGAGTCGGGGATTTCAAGGGCCAATCTTGAAATTATCCACCCGACCTTGAAATCCAAGACATTTCCTCGGATTTCAAGACATTCTTTTTACCGTGGGGGGTTGGTGGAGGTACGCTAGAGGTCTTACTTGAAGCTCAGTCAGTAAACAACCTGCGGTTGTTTTGGTCTGGTCAGCGCCACGCCGTCGACGCGGCCGGCGGCTTGGATCAGGAATCAGATCCAACACTTGCCCCGCTCCCGCTCCCACAGCCATGCGCGCAATATGCCTTGTGGCAATCTTGTGATTTAATATGGGAGCGTGACCACATAGTGGCCATGCCGCATTGAACGTGTTGAGAAGGGTGTGACCTCAACACGTGCACGTCGCATGCAAAGAGGTGTTAGAGGTGGTAGGCCAGGGGTGAAATAAAACCCTAAGATTGGATGTCGAGTTAGAAAACAGAGCACTGCCGCCATTGCTCAGGCACGGCACCCGCTGGAAACTAATTTGCAACGAAGCGCACAATAAAACATGAACTGTCACTAACGAGGTACTTAAATGATACGATGCTCGTGCTGGTCTTTTGACCAGGCTTTAAGTTTCGGCACGTGGCCGCCTGGCTATAAAATTATGTTTGTTTTCTGTCTTGTTGACCCCCCC